AAATAAAAGATTTGTGTAAAAAAATAAATAAATAATATTCTTTGTATCATAGAAAATAAATATCTGTAAACAAGTTGCATACATTATGTCTTATAAAATACTCTAGTTTTCATTCCCCCCTCAAAATCAGTGTAGCCGTTCCCGAGATAAGCCCGGACAAATAGATGGGCGTAAAGTTTTAAAATCAATTAAATGGATTTTTGTATCATGTAAAGAGTCTAATAATAGTAGAAATAATATTTATTACTTTAAATTAACAGATAGTTACTCCAATTTTATTTACATCATAGATTAATACGAGTTGAAAAATATAAAATTGAGTTAACACTGACATTTTAAGTCAAAAAGATAAGCTGATAGAAGAGAACGGGAATGGGTAGTTTTTCGAGGAATGGTTTAAGTAAATTCAATATAAACAACTTGTTATAGGAAATTGATCAATAAATAATATGTCTTTATTTTCAAATGAGTTATACATTTACACTTCATTCTATTTTCTCTACAAAACATTCAATATTTAAGTCATTATGTACACATTATAAAATAGTTAAAATAAAGTATCACGCTCTCAGGAACAAAGTGAGGGACGAAATTGCGAGGAGAAGTAAACTCAAAGGAGACGCGGTTACAGCACTCGAGCCGATGTCATCGCTGAAATCTTCGGGATCCACCTTCGGCTCGGAAGTCAGCACGACGGAGGCCCGAGCCGGCAGCACGAAGCTCTCCCGGCTGACCTCTTCTTCGTCAGCCACTCTGCAAACGAAAAACAGTCGGGATTATGCAAGTGAGTGATTTCTCGCAAGAATCTCGGTACCCCGTGTTAATGGCGCAAGAGCTGCTTTTACGGTTTTGTTGCTAAATGGTACCTCATCATAAAGGCAATTCATCATAAATGCAAATAGTAACTGAAGAGGAAGCGGGAGGAGGTGGATCGAGGGGTCAAGAAAACCGTTGAAAAATATTGCTTTGTATCACCAAAAATGATGTAGTAATTCATACAAAGTACAGAGTCTTAATATATATATATATATATATATATATATATTATATATATATATATAGTATATATATATATAATATATATATATAAAGATTATCACTAACAGATATTTCATTGTATTGCCAACAATTAATTCCTACTTCCCTGCACAGGCGAGCACATTTTTGTTTCTCTCATAACGTGAATAGTTTTTTAGATGGGCGAGCAGATTACTTGCAAAAATGTTTAAAATTACGCCAATATGTCAATAATGGTTTCATACTAATGTTATTACATGTAAATATGAAAGAAAGAGATAATAACACAACTTCCTCCCTTGCGAGCATTCACAACACCTCAGAACAGTTGTTAGTAAGATGGCATCAAGCGTAATTTCTTGCGTCATTGCCATTCCAGCAATCCAGCACAGGCGTTACCATATAATATATATATATTATATATATTATATATATATATATATATATATATTATACTGTATATTTGTGCCCACAATTACATGCTACAACACGATGACAAACATCATTGCTCGTAAAGCAGGTTCCGAATCCGCTGCAGGTAAATTTCGTCACCGGCGCTCTAGCCGACTTCTACCATGGCTTATGAATTCTTTTAAGTTTAACTTATGAGTAATAAAAAGTAAATTGTGTAGCCACTTAATATTTGTGTAGAACATTTGCATTATTCAATATGCCAGCTTCTACATCGTTATACTCACTAAATTTGCAGAGGAGGTGTATTTCAGCATTTTCGGTAGATCCAGGTAAGCAGCAATTGAGTTCAGACGAATGGTGGCAGGCGAAGTGTCGAAATTCATGAGAACGACGTATGCGTGCGTCGCGTTTCGTCTGTGAATAAAAATAAGCTTAAATTATATCGCATTTCAAAGGATTTTTTTTCTGTTTCAAATGTGTTTTCAATTCAAATGCAATGGGAAGGAGGCGAAAGTTCAGGAATTCAAATCCAGTGAAGGGAAAACTTTTCAGATTTCATATTCGGTATGGATTCTAAAACAAAACACGTCAGCTTTCCTGGTCCCTAACTAGAAACCACAGGGTTGTTGACGATTTCCTCCCTAAAGTTTCTTACAACCCAACACATTTTCTACTTATTGCTAATTGTTACCTTAAAAATTAAAGTAGCTACATGACTTCTAGTCCTTGTGACTAGCAGCTGGACAGCGTGCTCGCTTTACACTATGCGGCTCCAGGTTCGATTCTCGGAGAGGCACAATTATAGTGTGCAATGTCCCAGTATATGTTGCTGTATGACGATGAAAAAATTCACTTCTCAGGTTGAGAAGTCCGGAATACGGAGTGAGGATGTCTACGTGCTAATTACACGTACCCCCTTAACCCATTGCCGCGAGGCAGGGACGTCGCCGGTAGGTCTGAGCCCGTTCACGGGCTGTCACGCCAAAACATTCATACATACAAGCATGCGTAGTAATGCAATGAAGCGTTTTTCGATATCTCGTTGAAGGGTATTATTATAAGAAATCGATACTTACGTGAAAGTTTCCTATTTAAACAAGTCAAGTAGTATAAATATAAATTGCAAAACGAAATATTATTGTGTACAATTTTTTTTCAAAATATGCAAAGTTTTTAAGTTGACGTAACTTTTCAAAAATTAGAGGCAATTTTAAAATCAAGATTTTCTCAATAATGGCTTCAATTTTTTTCTTTCAATTGGTTTCTCGGATAGTGTGAAGTACGCCTATAAAAATGACGCAAGTCTACTTTCCGTTGAACTTTATGAATTTTCGAAAATTGCAGAAGTTAAATTAAGAAATTCGAAAAATGCTATAGTATGCTGTTTTAGCACAACTATTTATCATATGCGTGAAAGATCTTCCTTACCTACTAGTAATCACTGGATGCCGAGAACTGTTTGTAGCTCTCAAAACTACTAGCACATTCTGTATTCGAACTTTATTTCAAGTAAGGAAGATACACTCTTTATCCGCGATAATAACGTCAAATAAATATCATAATGTTTAATTAAAATGAATTATAAAATTATTGTTCAAATAAAATGGACAGTTTTTAACTTACTTAAAATATTCAAATCATAAAATATTGGAATAATTTTTTCAGTTGGTAATACCCTAGAGTGAGGTGCCCGTTCCTTGTGTTCCCTAACTATGCATATGGAACAGATATTGTAATACTCGAAGTTTTTTTACAACTTTTGGGTTTCTTTTGACGTTCTGTATGGATTATATTTGGTTAAATAAACCTTAGGGAATCATGGAATTGCATGCTTAAGTATCTGAGTGGAGTTCTGACGTCTTAGTTAGTAAAATTCAATAAAAGTCTTTTATCGACTATAAAATAATAATTATATGCATTTGTTGTGTAGTGAAGTAACTAACTATTTTTACCACTTTTGTTTTGAATTTTATTGAAAAACATATTTCTTCTCACATTACCTCCAAAATTAAATAAGACGAATGATTTTCGATGTATTTCAATCGACGATAATTTCATTTAAACTTAAAGCTTCTGCAATATGATGTCTTAGTTCAACAAAATTTGCATTATTCGGTGATCGCTTCCGAAAATATTCAGTAGTTAAGGGACGGTCGTTTAAAAACATTGGGGAAAATACTCATTATAAGCATAATCATTGCTGATAATCGGCTGAGAAAAGCAACAACAAAAACTCTCGAAACTCACCTGCTGAAACTGAAGACGTTGGAGCCGATCGTCTCCATGTGGAAGTCTCCGCGCTGGATGGCCAGCTCGTTGCGAAGGGCTGCCAACTTCTTGTACACATTGAGGTGGCTGTCCGGTTGTCCTTCCTGAGCCGCCACGTTCAGAGTGTCGTAGTTCTTGTTCACAGGAAGCCACGGGGTGCCGGTCGTAAAACCTAGGAATTTAGGTTGCTGTTATTAATACATACTTTTTTTTGAGAAACTAACTGTTGGAGCTCAAAGGAGTAGATGGCAACTGAAACATTTCAGATTGATTTATAATTCGCAAAATATTCCAGAGAAAACAATAGAACTGCACCTTCGACGCACACCTTGCTAGATTCTGAGAAAAAAGTGGGAATACATTACTATACCAGCTCTGAGGAGCGAAACTTTCTTCGCCACTGTCAAGTGCTAATGCCAAGTAGTACGATACTCGTTCTATAATAAGGAACTAGTCTTGAAAGTTTCTACAAATCGTGTAGCAAACGAGAATCAATTAAATTAATGCTACTGCGTTATTCGTTGATGTATATTCGTCCAGGTTCAATTCTAGAGAACAAATTATCAGAGGTGATACCACAAATACTTTGGAAATTGTCGAGTTTCAAAATGCGCCAAATATTGAAAATAACGGAAAGCTATGTTTAAAATCAAAGAGGTTATGTTATAGAACACACGCGGTTTATTGGCCATCGATATAACGATCGATGTATACCGTAATAAGATAGACGAGTCATAGTTTATGATTGGACAGTAGGTGATGCGGTAAGAAAAGATATAAACGAAAAAGATATAAACGTTTTGAGATTCACCGCCCTGAATGGGGCATTTTGTATGCATGGTTAAACACTTTTGGATTTAATTTCATGAGTGGAAGAGTCAATGTAACGCCGTTTGAGAATGTGAATTTAGTCATGATTCAGTGGGAAGGCTAAGAATTCTAGTCAATTATTTTCGTGTTTCATCGGGAGAAATGTTCTAAAAAATAAATTTGGAATAATGTAATAATAATGTCTTTGTGTCTGCCAACATTTTTGTGTCCCTATGTTATCAATGAAGCAATTATGTGGTGACGACCTGGTGCATGCGTTGCTCACCTGCGTTTTCCGTTTTGTCCCATTGAATTGGTGTCCTCTCGTAATCGCGTGTCTTCGAACTGTAATAATCTTCGTCCTCCTTGTGGTCATCTGGGCACGCCTGCGGGTCCTGGCAGTCGGCTACCTTGAGGTCCTCGTTGTTCAACATACCAATCTCTTCACCATTGTACGTGATGGCAGTGCCGGGCAGAAGTGTTACTAACATGTTGTAGGCGTCAATGAGATCACTTCCAAGACGAGTGCCAACCCGATGTTGGTCGTGGTTACCCACCTGAAAAGAGGCGGATATGCTACACAACTACTTCTCATTTCATACGTTGTATTTGCTTTTAATTTAAATAAATTCAAATAAGGCAGTTACGATTTGATACTGCAGTCACGATATTTAAAGTGAAAGAGATCACTGTGATAATTAAGTAAAGAAAACGTAGTAAGAACGATGTAGAGTAAAGCCCAGTATATAAGCATACCGGAAGAACGTAAAAGCGAAAGTGGGAGAAATGAACTCTATTTGTAACTTGTGGACCCGGCAATGTTTCACTATTGTAATGTATTACACTTAACACGATATCAGCTGTTTTTGTTTCTAAGATCATTATTGCACTATTATTATTATTATTATTATTATTATTATTATTATTATTATTATTATTATTATTATTATTACTTTTATAGAATTTGCATGTTAGCTATATTATCTTACTTATGTAATTAGCTGCAATTTGGTTATGCCCATTTGCAGTTTAAATAAATTTATCTTTAAAGTCTTTTATTTTTGAAAAAAGAAGCGATCGACGGGAACCCGATGAAAACGTAACTGTGACGCTCTGATGATTGAGATGTTACACGTAGAAGATGTTATTAAAATATGCAGAACCATTTACTTACCACCCAATTTGACCATCCGAAATCAGGCTTGTTATCAAGCCACAACTTGAGAACTTCCTGCAACTTCGCAGCGCTTAAATTTTCTAGATTAAGCTGAGAAATCACAAAGAAGTTGAATGGAAAGTCACCGGCAGGTCGCAGTTCTGAGCCAAAGTATTTCATCAGGGGTTCTGGATCAGCGTATACTTCCAGCATCAGGGTCCTGAAATTAAAAACAAAAGTATTTTAATTTCTTGAGATTGATTGAGGATAGTAAAAATTGTCTGAATGTTCAGAACATTTTTTTCCAATCATATGGATAGAGATCTTAACAAATAGAAAGTGAGTCACCACCATGCTACTCATAATATTAATTACATCTTAATATTAATTACAAATAATTCCTCAGCATTAGTCCCTGAGACACAATGCGCAAAGACAGAGGTTTCAGAAATTGTCGCATTATTTTATGATGTTTTAGCTGTTAGATCCAACTTTTGGCAATGCACTGTTTCTGGACCAGACGACTTCGCCAGTAGCAGGCCAAGGACATAGAAACATCTGTCATCCTGCGCACCCCAAAGGGATCGATTCACCAATGCGTTTATATCTCTACGATTATATTTACAATTCGAAGTACGTTTACCTATTCGACTTATCTTAACACAAGCTTCTGGCTATAATGGATCATAAAAATTTGTTGACCTACGGCTATACATCTGCAAAGCATTTCTCAGCAAAATTTCAAACGTTTATTTTGCATGTGGAGAGCACATTAACTTGCTTTTACATACCTGATACGTCTAGTAACTTATTATTAAACCATTGAGATTGGAAGTACTCCCTTTGCATGTCGCCTTAAGCGGGTATTTGTATGGTAAATATTTATTTGTGCTTTGGAAGTTCAGTATAAAAATACATTTTAAACATACTTCAGCTCCCCGACTTGTCCATTTTATGGCATTTTTTATGACATTTAAAGTTACATGAAAAATAATCGAACTACTTGTTTACATTTTTATTTCATGACAAAATTTAGTGTAATTACCATCAACCTGATGAATCAAGTCATAACAATTCTTGTAACTGCCGGAAAGAGAGTGTTGTAATTCACAGCGGTTCACCAATGTGCTCAAAGGTACATTGAAACCATAAAAAACAAGTGTTTTTCTGGAATTCCAAGGAGCGTAAGGTACTCTCGTGACTTAGTGGCGAAGTCGCTTGCTTTTCATCACTGAGGTTCCGGGTTTAATTCCCGTAGAATCCCCGTAGAACCTCGTGAAATTTGTTACGACTAAACGAGTTTGCCTGCTTCACAGGGGCTAGTCTAACCCCTGTAAAGTGTTCTTAACCTTAGCCTATCTTTATTCTTTCCCAGTTCTGGTCGCTGGTTACTGACGCAGGATAAGAGGCGCGTACGCGGAGATGCTACCTGGCGGTCCTCTTGACAACTCACTACGACGTGACTGACATGACAAATAAGTAACGGATTGCTCCACTGTGATGTACTTTCTTGTTCGCCTGACCCCTTTTGGGGTCTCTTCGAACGTTGGGCAGTTTTGGTGGGTTTTTATTTGGGTTATTCGGACTCCTCTCCCCCGTACGAGACGGGGACTGGGAGTCTACGTGGTTAAGGATCGGGTATTTGTCTTTGGAAGAAGGGTTATTTTTGTTAGGGTTCTGGATGGCGGGGTTGGGGAGGAGGATGTAGGATGGGGAGGGATGGGGATGGATGGTGGAAAAAGTCGGCAAGGGTTTGATAAAGGAGGCGGCGGAGTTGCATTTGTTGCGGGCGTTTTAACCGTGTGTCAGTAAGTTTCGTCGAGTCATTGTTAGTCGGTTTTGTATTTCGTTGTTCGTTAGTGTCCTCTGGCTTAGGTTATGGGAGGAGGGAGTTTAAGGATGTAAGTAAGTAATGGAGGATTACTCCTAATAATAAACGCCTAACTTAATGGAGGATTATTCAAGCGCAAACGCTCCACGCTCCTAAGGGACTTGGAGGCGCGTTGCATCTATGTAGGGACAAATAAAAATATCCTTGAGAAAAGGATGCCAGTTTGGCCAATCAATTTGTCTTGACTACAGGAAACAAATGAGCTATTTAGCACCTCTATAGGTGCCATAAAAAGTACAAAACAAGGCAGGTTTTTTGAGTTTGATCCGCATGGATCAGTTCCCCTCCAGGAGACAGAAACGCGTCAAATGACCCCTCACTTGTCTCGTTTGAAGGTCAGGAAGGGAACCGTGAGTGAGGGACGGACACGGGTGCGTAAATCCAATAACTATACGAGTATTATACCAGAAACACACAAAAAACTTACAAGTCTTTTTGCAGCAGAGCTCCTTCTCTATCCAATACATCTCGCCATTGTTTAACTATTTCGTAGGTGAGAGGTTGGTTAACTTGCATGTCTCTGTCTGAACCCGTGTTGTCTCGGAATTCTTCATCTTCCACGAGGTGATTGATGGCGTCCACACGGAATCCGTCCACTCCTCGGCGCACCCAGAAACTCAACACGTCCTGTGCAAGATTGCAAGAGACTCAGTGGAACGTACGGTAAAGGAGGAAGGTAGGGTGCAGTGGGGAAATTGAGAACCATTTTCAGCACAATATAACTTATTCGGTTTCCAATGGGTCTACATTTAATAAAAATTTGAGTTTTTCTAATTTTATCATTTAGGGATATTATTCAAGAGTTTAAATCATCCACTGGACGATTAAAAATATTTATTTCATGGTTTTATCAAAGTTTTCTGAAACTGCTTCTCAAGAACACATTTACTCTAGACTGTGTGGCAAATTTGTACTGAACCTGGGATTCCCAAAAGGAATAGTTGTTTCGCTATTTGTGTAAATATAAAAAAAAATCAGTTCAATACGAACAAAACCGTATAGGATTGTTTACTATTTTTTGGAGAGGGGGGAAGTCAAGACATTTTTATGCTTCCTGTGTTTCGTCTTCACGTTGGTACAATTAACAATTACTAGGTAGTACAATTCATATTTCCACATTTTTAAATGAATTCACATTTACCCCAAGTACACATTTGCCCCACTCCACCCTATAACACTACACATCTCCCTGCAGAGTGCACCTGGTAAGCATTCCGGTTCACGACACCAGAAGGATGGAAATATCTCAAACGTCATTTTCTCAAAAAAGATGCAAAAAAATACTTTTGATTTTTAAAAAATTACACAAATGTAATTTTTTATGTGTATTTTTCAAGTCGTTAAAATTTACATTGTGGGCAAACATTATTGCATTTTTAAGTAAAAGGGTTTAAAATGTTTTTATGAAGTTTCTAGAAAACTCAAAAGTTCTCTGTGAAAAAGAGCTGAAAGTTGCGCATTTTCAGAAATGCTCAAACGATATTCCCTCGAAAACTGCTCAATATTTTAAAATAAAAATTTGCTTAGAGAACTCTTTACATATTATTCTATAATCTTAATGTCTTATTTCAATTCTACAATTAGACGACAGAAAAACTGAGGAAACGTGAAAAAAATTAGCTGCCAGTTGGGAAGAGAGAGGAGCAAAACCGAAAGCTAGCAGATTAGGAAGCTAAATAGTACGAGCAAGATTGTGCCATTCTGTAGCACCACTATATTCCATCTCGTGGCAATAGTATTCTCTAGGTGGCAATATTGTATTTTTGTAGGAAATAATCGCAAGAGTTTAATTCAAACTGAAAATTCGGCGAGATATTTTTATATATTAATATTGTGTTTATTAACGCATGAAGTGTGAACTCAGAACCAAACATGACGGACATACCTGACACTGTATTTTACGTGATTAGAAATGTTCCATTATGTAAAAAATGTTCCACTAATGACATCCGAATTCATTGTGCGGTTTTTGGTTCACAAATGCACATCCAACGAAATTAATGATTGAAATACCTTCATTGCTTGCACCAAAGCAGGATGCCTATAATTCAAATCTGGTTGTTTCTGGTGGAATTGGTGTAGATACCACTCAGTTTCGGCGCCAGTAATAGGATTTTTGTACTTTGACCAGGCCGATCCAGGCTCTTCTTGAGTGAAAGCACCTCCCTGCAACGACATAAAGCATTACAGAGATTGCACGTGCATATTTCAGAGAGGAATGCGCTTTGCGTTTATTTTTGTACTAGTTGAATGTGGCGTCGCAGACACTGTAAACTGTTTTAAAAGTAATTTTCATTCGTTGAAAATTGCTTTCATACTTCATTTCTAGCTTTTTTTCATATATGCTCTTACAGTATCGGGCATTGGACGTACTAATCAATCGTAGAAGCTGTTATACTCCCGTTCAAAAATTCCTAACACCCAATAGCCTTGTATGTTCCTTCCATACGGATTTGAACTGGTGATATTGCAATTTCAAAATTATCACCGTAAAAAGATTCGTACAGGTATGGATGATGCGAATACTTAGAATTTAGTTCAGTTACATTCTTTACGTCTTTCCCTAATAAGAACATAAATGATCACATGTAAGCTGTTCTTCTGCGTTATTCTCTAATCCTAATATAAGACCATTCTCAACTAGTTCAGAAAATTGTGACAAAATCTTGTACAACTACATGTGATTCTTACGTGGATTTTCATAACAGATCCATATTTTTGTCCCCTAATGTTTGAAGAGATTAAAGCTAAACAAACTCAGTCTAATTTGCGTTGACTTTTACTTTTGCAATTGCTCTATTAATCGTTTTGTATTAGAATCTATGTGAACATTAAAAGGTGACTGTTTTGTATGTTTATGTGAATAAGGCGTTAGTTAAGTTTAATAAGAATTAATTGTTAATAAAATTTATTTAAAAATAGGTATTTGCACACACAACATAAATGTGAGAAGTAGAACGCAAGGACGTTCATTCATAGCATTACTTACAGTTTTGTTTCCTCCGTATTCACTTAAAATTCTTCAAATTTAATATATTCCAAAGCAATACTGTTCCTAGGTTTGATTTTTTACATTAACTTTTTAAAGACAATAAGTGTTACTATCCTCATGAAAGAAAATTATGGCGTTCGAAGCAATTCTGCCTCTGGGTTCTGGGGTTTAATCAAGGCCACCTACATAGATACATTTAGGTGGAGTTGATTTAATTCCCGGCATACAAAGACCACAGCGCTTCAAACATGTTTATGGGAATTTCTAAAAATGTTCTGGTTTGATCGAAAAAATAATTATCATTTACCCACCAGGAGACCATGACACATCATATGCCTCGATTGGTGAATGGGAAGTGGTCTAAACGTGAGTGACGGATCCACACACACACACGCATACGCAATAACTCAAATACTTTATAGGGATTCGGCATGCATCTTGTGGGGGAAGCGATTGATTATTTTTCTTATTAGAACTTTCTGACGGTGTGGTAACAGACGTCTTTCTCAAGTCTGTAACCACATCATCTGGTTGTACCTTGGACCACACACTACACACCACCATTGAACGTATCGAAGATCAAATCTTTGCGCCGCTACTTTGAGGTTGCTTGTAATACTCACCCAGTTGTTGGGTGGATCTTCGCCGTCATTTTGTCCTTCATGCCAAATGTAGTAATTGTAATAATCACTATTCTTTCCTTCGCGTACAGCCCTTTGGAACCACTCGTGCTCATCGCTCGAGTGATTGGGAACGAAATCCAGAATCACCTTTAACCCTGCGAAAATATTGAGTATGTATTTTTCTTCTTTGAGAAAGGTAACTTCCATTTTGACTTATGTATTAATAGAGCAGCATTAATACATACATACATTTATTAGAACTGCAATTGGGTATGACCCGGTGGCAGTTAATGGCAATAATTGCAAAAATAATCGGTTAATAGAATCGGTTTTAATCCGGATATGCGAAGTTACACAAATTTCCTATGTGTCATAAAGACAAAAAATAAATTCTACGATATAAAGAGAGTTTGTTCTTCTGTACGGATGTGAAAAAAAAAATTATACTCACACAACACGAGTCAAAAATGAAAGAAAACAATTCGACATCCAACAGACCTAATTTTATGCGTTATCACGTCATGAAATTACCCAAGGCATTATCGTGCTCTTTACTCGTACTCTCGTTTTACTTACCCAAGCGGTGTGCTTCTTGAAGCATTTCGTCGAAATCACCAAGAGTTCCAAAGATGTCGTTGATGTTCTTGAAGTCAGAGATGTCGTAGCCCATATCCCAATCAGGAGAAGAGAAAATTGGAGAAAGCCATATAGCTGATACTCCCAGATCTCGAATGTACTGGAGACGGGAAGTAATACCTGAAGCCATATAAAATACAATTAGATGGAAGGAAAGCATGAGAGTAAAATTGACAAAAGTTTCATTTTCGTTCTTCCTTTTCATTAGATCCCAGGAAAATAATAACATTGCGAAACAGAACCTGCGACCAATTTTAGAACTTGATAATGCAAAACTATGCTGTGAAGTGTAGAACTTAATAAGAAAGGAAAGAAATTTATCTCGTTATACATTTTCCTTTTGTAATTTATTTTCTACACGAATAAAATTGGAATGTCTGTCTAATATTTCAAAATAAGTGCCTTTTTATAATTATATATATATATATATATATATATATACATATATTGTTTTTACGAATTTTGCATTTCCCTTTGTCCTCTGGGGTAAATCCCTGGAATGGCTGAATCGCTTTCACTATGGATTTCGTAGAAAAAGGATGATGTTTTGCTTTTTAAAAATTATTATTAGCCTTTATTTTTCAATTTATTATTTTCTTTTACACAAAGAGGAAAGTTTATTTGTTTGTTTCAATACAAATGAACAGTTTTGTTCCGATCTTAATGAATTTCTGTGCTTGTGACTTTCAAAGCCAGAGAAAGCTACTGTCTGTATAAGATTCCGTAAAACAGCCTCCGTGTACCGAATAGTTTTGAACCCTATACAATTACCTTCTTTGTGCTTATGATTCACTTAGATCATGCGATTGCGTTTTAAATAATTAAATGAAATGAAAAATGAACGGTGATGGAACAATGGTGGAATGAGAACGGAAGAATCTCAAGAAACCCTGTGTCGACCACAAACTCCATACGAGGTTAGTCGAACACCGATCACAGCGTCAAAAGAGATCTGATTTGATCGATGAGGACAGATCGCAACGCCAAGAGCCGTCCCAACAAGTGAACTTTAAGGGTTTTAAGTGGTTTATAAACGAATGACAATGAGCCTAAGCAACTATGGACCAAAGCAAAAAAATAAAATGTAAAATACACTACAAATTTGAGAGTTATCATATTTTACATCTAAGTCCTTCAAGTATGGAATATGGATTGGTGTAAAATTAGGATTTGTCCAAAAAATTCCACAAAGCTATTAAAAGCATACGTCTCGATAGTTTGAAAACTCGAGAGATCTAAACAAGTTTTTTGACTCGGATTCGAGAAGAAAACTAGAATGTGTGCTACCGAGTTGTGTACCGAGACTATAAGAGGGTGCTCTCACCAGGCAAGTCGCCGATTCCGTCGCCGTCCGAGTCTTGGAAGGAGCGTGGGTATATCTGGTAGATGATGCCCTTCTGCCACCACTTGAGGTCCTCGGGCTCCGTGCTCTTCTTGCGCAGCGCGCCCTCCAGCACCAGCGCCGATTTCCCCTTCAGCATCACCGCCGATAGGTCGATGTCCGTCGACCTGCGAATGCGTCGAGAACCGCGGTTACATCGATTGTTTCGAAAAACAAAAAAAAGGCCACTTATCCAACGTTTGCTCACTCCTCGTTTTAATTTATTGATTGAATATTTGTAGTTTTCGGGCATATCAACTGATATGATCACTTGGTCCCGTAAATGTAGTGCATGTTTTTTATCGCGAGAGGTGGTGGTGGTGTTCTTTATGAGCTAGATGATGAGATTCGACGTCATCCTATATGCAAGATTTTGCGGGTTTTTCCCCAATCCAGGTATCTCCAACTATCGGACCACGGCTCCAAGTATTAGCTATTATGTAAATTACTGATTTTACACGAGACGTGGGGTGGTGACGGTAATCGCACATGGTTGCGTAGGTTTCACGGCCGGAGTATGTGTTGTCTAGGCTATCCGGGACGAGCCGTGTCACTGACATGGTGGCTAACGTTTCGACCAGCGTGTTGTGGTAATCGCATAACGCGGCTCGTTCCGGTAATCGCACATACCCCTCCCTCATCCTTCCTGAGCTCAGATGAGAAAATGAGAATTGTGAATCCCCTAAGGAGACTGAACCAATTATTAAGTTATGAAAACAGGTACAGACCAACAAAGAGAGAATGAATAAGAACATGTACTGAATATTAATGACGTTTCTTTAATACATTAAGTCGTAACTTAACTCGTGAACTGCTCGTTTGAAGTTGAATTGGGATAATCATTAATCAATTCCCCCTGGGCCATTCTCGATTGTTTCTCACTAGTATTGAAATATCATTTCACATTTGTGTGTTAATACCCTTCATTAGAGCCGACACCATTGTTTCAAAATACAATAATTTGCTATTCTTTGCATACCAGGGCTATCAGAATACTGGTTTGTTGGAAAGATGTGAAATAATTTATGACTCACTGGGTTTCAGACGAGATGGTTTCCTTAACAGCTCCCACGTCTTCATGTTTTTCGGCTACGTTCACAATTTGTGGTAGTTTGTCGAAATTGATGAGTAGCAGATAAGCGTAGCTATCATTTTTCCTGCAAAGAAAGGTATGAAAATTGCTTATTGTTTTCTGCAAATGTTTTGTTGAATTAGTTCATAAGTTACAAATTATTCCATTACTACATGTTTCGTAGACAATTGCGTCTAATCAAGTCAGTCACATTTTACGACAGCTCAACAAAGCCAGTCTTATTTTATGACAGCTTCAGAATTTGTTTTCCAGAACATTAGAGAACATACTTTTAATTTTACAATTATTATTTTTTTTCTTTTAAGAAACTTACCTTGAAATGCATAATACATTGTCGTTTAGAATTATTTTACTGAATTCTCCACTCTGAATTGCAGGTTCGTTTCGGAGTTTTGCAAGCCTTTTGTAAATGAACAAATGACTTTTTCTTACACTTTCCTCAGATCTTACGTCAATGTGGTCAATATCTTTAGGAACGGGTAGCCATGGCTCAATACCTGCGTCACAGAATCCTGAAGAAATAATAATGAAAACATGTTAATATTTAAAAAGTTCAACTTAAGACGTGTGGTAGTGACAGTGAATTACACTAAAATATCCGTTTGTTTAATACATTTAAACCATCTCAAAAAATGGAAACCGTAACAGAAAAATTAATTAATATCTGTGATTACACAGCGATAATAAAAAGAAAAATAATAATTAATTTTAGTTTTTTAAATTTCAGCATTGAAAAGAATTTACAAATGTAAAATAAAGTGACGAATTTAATATTTAGAATCTTTGTCATTTCTGTTAGTGAAAACGATACAAATGCACGAGAAGAAATTGTCTAAAGAAATTATTATCTTCTGTTAAAGGTGGGAGTGCCGAAACAGCTGTTCAAGAAAATAATGAGACTAATTTCGATGTATATTTAGACTGCAGAACATTATCTCTGGCTGAACAACTAACCGACAAAATTATTGGGTGTGTACACAAATATGGCTTACATGAGTGATGGGTCTGAATATGCGAAATATTAAATTTCGTTATGCATGTGTTGGAACGTAATATAACGTGAATGATGACAAGAGATAGGTGATGGCAAAGCTGGAGCAATACCCTAAAAAACTGGCCACGGACCGCGCGCGATCTTTCCTTCTTCTTCCTTGTTCAATTCTTTCTACACACACACACACACACACACACTTACAAGCACTATACTACAGATCGGGAGACTAGCCGGGAGCTTGGAGCTTGTCCCGGCTGGGGCGGTGTCGCGCTCGAGCGAGGTTCCTGTTTAGGGGAATTCCCGTTAGCCCATGCGTGAGATCTGATCTCATCATCCAGAAGGTAAAGATCACCGCCATCTCACAAGAAAAACAAATAAATTACACTTACGGGGTTAATGAACCTAATATGAGACCTTAGGTATTGACGCGCCCGGAACCACTAGTCAATTAATCAATCCATCCATCATAAGTTATACGGAAATAAAATTAAAATCAACGAACACTCTTTGACACGCCGGGCTACATTTCGGCCGTACTCTTTGACGTCGGTAAATTCGAACATATATACGTAGGCACGCCAGCTTGTTTTTGATACGCGAATTAGTTGAGACTGAGAAGTCACAATTTACGATATTTAATTAATCACAAGTTTATACAAGTGAAATAAGACATCATGCGGTGAAGATGGGAAACGCATGAGGAAAGAAATATCATGCGCGATCCGGGACCTGTTTGTTAGGGTACTGCTACGGCGTGCGCGTGGCATTGCTTGGAGAAGCAATAAAAAACTAAAATCCAGAGCAGTCTGACTTTAAAATTCGCCTCCAGGCGTCGGTTGAATTCGATCTGTCTGTATATAGCAATGAAAATCCGTCGTAGTCGGGGTTCGAACTCTAGGACCTCTCAAACTGCTAACGGTGTAGCCCCGACCCATCTCAACCGATTTTAATACTTAATTAATATTCCCCATGTAATTTCTTTCTTGATCCGACCCTGGCTGTCTGCTTGCCTTCAGGATGGTCTCCAGTGAATGTACATCGCATGTTGCTCACCTGCGTTCTCGGTGGAGTCCCAGTGGAAAGGCGTCCTCTGAAAATCACGCGACTCCTTTTGGAAGTAGGCCTCGTCGGAATTGGGTCCTTGAGGGCACGCCATTTTGTCCTGGCAATCCGCAACCGTCAGTTCCCTGTTGTCCAACATGCCGATTTCCTCGCCATTGTAAGTAATGGCCGTCCCGGGCAGGAGTGTTAAGAGCATGTTCATGGCATCGGTGAGTTCCTTTCCAACACGGGACGCCACGCGGTGTTGGTCGTGGTTGCCGAGCTGAAAAGTATCCAGAATCAGTGTGCGAATTGACAGTTCTTTTTTTTCTTTTTCTGTTTTTTACAGAAGGGGCATTCAGAACTTCAGAGCGGAAGAAATTAAGAGTTGAGGTACTTTAAGATTGCTTTTTGGAAAGTGTTCCCTCGATTTCGGTTTCAAGATTTGAACATTTCAAAACGCGTAAATTATCAACGAAGCATCAATGTGTGTATTGTGTAAAATTGAAGCCGTTTTTAAGAAAATGTCGTTTCAGTGTTTATGTAAAAGCGGAATTTTGAGCTAATTTTGAAGAAAAATTTCGAGTTATCGAGAAACTTCATAAGACATAGTCTGAAGCATTTGTACTCCCAAATGCAATGACGTTCATGTATTAAAATTGCCGGTAATGTAAATATTAACGACGTGAGATATATGAAAAAATTTAAAACACATTTGTATAAATTTTGAAATAAGATAAGAATACAGCAAAATGTGATTTATGTCATCTTATACAGCAAATAACACTATTTGTATGAAAACTTTCAAGCAAAAATTTGGATCCGGTTTTTAAATAATTTTATTATTTTTTAATATTACCCATATTTCACGAAAAAGCGACTAATATTTAAAATAAATATACATAGTGATAATTAAATTTATAATGGTGGACAACAAATTTTATTTGAAGAAAAATTTTCTATTTTCAGTATTGTAGTTGAAGGAAGACTCATACGTTTGCAAATTTTCAAAAATTCAGGGGTAACTGTGAAATGAGAATCTATGCCATCTTTAAGTGCATTTCACTCCCTTTTTACAAGAATTTTAAAGCCATTTTTGAGAAAAAAATTGTGAAAAAGTAGGAGAAAAACGTTGAAAACATCCCAGAGGCTTCGTGTGAATAAGCACCAAAATTTAAAGAATGTTTTTCAAAGTTGCAGAGATTTGAGTTCGTCGAGCTCGTCCGGGCAATTTTCATTTTAGATAAAATCCTACGGATATTTTAGGCTATGTTGTTATTCACACACGGACATTTAGGAATATTGTTATTCACACACGGACAGATGTACGGACGGACGTTAAAAAAACACTTTTTAGGTATATTTCTGTTAAAATCTCAAAATCGATTTTCCGTAGCATTACATATCTTTTTCTACACTTCGTGTATTACTATGCATATACGTATATTACGATAAAGTAAAAATAATACTTTGATAATGTTCAAAAGTCGTTATTGCAAACAATTTTGTTTACATACTCATTAAACAAAAAAAGTAATGTAAACATATTTTTAACGAGAAGTATCAAAAAATCAAAATATGTATTGTTGAAAAACTGGTACTTGTGTCTCGTATAATTCAATGTTTTGTGTTCTATCCTTTCCAAGAAGTTGTACCGTTCAAAAAGTTTACCGATTTTGACACAATCTTGTTTCTATATTTTTGGAAGAATGTAATAGTGGTGGACATCAATCAACAATTACTCACATTTTTAAAAACTGTTCCCTAAATATTTTAAATATTTATAATTGGGAGATAAGGCATTAAGAAAGAAAAAGGAAGGAATATAAAAAATTAAAAAAAATTAGTAATAAGCAATGATGTCAAAGACAACTTCCTTAACAGCTTATAAAAATTATGTCATGTTTAATTTAAGTTTTAATTCTTTCAAATATAAAATTATTAAATCTCTGTAGAGATATTTTAGTTAAAATAAATTAATGCTGAGATAATAGATTAATGCTTAGAATAAATTATTGCTAAGCTAATTTTTAGCATAAATCTGAGGTGTGTCCAAAATTGCACAATAATATAACATACCTGTTTTTTCAACACCACGAAAAGGCAAAATATTGAACAGAAGAAATTAAAATTTTGAAATAGGAAGGAGTGGTTTTTGGTTGAATGTGTCAAAATATTGTAAGAATAACTCATTATCATCTTCTCTGTAGTATGTGAGGAAGTTACCTACTACATGCTGAGTTAAGAAATCAATTTTTCCAAGAAAAGTGTTTAGTCTTATGCACTCGAAATCGACTAGCGCTGAAGAATAATTTGTTGGTTGGCATACTTTTGCTTTCTCGCATACTACTTATGTAGAATAGAGAAAGTATTGTATTGCTGCATCGGAAAAATACTATTTTACGACAGATAAAACAAAAATTCGAGAAAACGTTTGGAGTGCTACAAAAGCAATACGAAACTACGAAACTTTTCTCAAAATGGGCTCCAAATTGTTCTCCAGAAACTTCTTGAGTAAAAAAGGATGGAAATAGCTGTGGGCGAGACATGTTCTGTAGGATTTTATTTTTGTTGACAACTTAGGGATACACTTTCTGGATACACCTTTTAGAATAAGATATGTTCCCTGATCCTTTTGAAAACAAAAATATTAACATTGAAGCAATAAATTGCCTACATCAAGTGAGGGGAATAGTATGTTATAAAGACGTTGAGATGTGTATATCTTAAACTTTTAAACATCGGAATGTGGAACGCATACTTACCACCCAGTTTGACCATCCATGTTCTGGAACTAAACTTGTCCACTTTTCAATGGCGTCAACTACGTCCTTTGCAGAAACGTCTTTTTCTGGATCATTGTATTTGTCTCCCAAATCGTGAATCAACTTGAAATTGAATGGGAAGTGCCCTCCAGGTTTGTCGGCCGTGCCAAAGTATTTCGTGAGATCGTCACCATCCGCTGATGCTTCCAGCATCAATACCCTGAGCAAGAACACAAGTTCATGTACCTTAGTCTTATCTTGCACCACGTCCCTATTAGGGCGTTGCGACAGGTACACAACTGTTTATTGACTTTTCTGGGTCATTATGGATTACTGGTGGATGTTGATTGAGATGGCTACACGGGATAAATGGTGCCCTTGCCTTCTCCGAAATAACAATGGTGGAATCAACCATTATTTACCTGGAATCACTGTCAGATCTCCCTCCAAAATACATTTTTTAAATCACTAAATCGAACTAAATGTTTTCACATTTTCCCCACATTCATCGCATAACTTTACTAAGTATCGGAAAGCATTAATAAGTAAACAAGTGTTCCTAGCGGCCAGAACGTAATGGCAATTAATGGCAACTTGGCGTCTTTACCACTGCATTGAATCCAACAACGTTCGTGAACTAGACCGCGAGAAAATTCACTTAACCTCTAAGAAGTTTATGAGCTTAGATTAAAAAATAATGCTAAAACGTAGATAAAATATTTCTAACTAAAATAGGAGGCAAAATTGACAGTAAAATTAATAATTTGCAATATAGAACTGGAATATAATATAGCAGCTACAATCGTACAGTCACGTACTATTTAGAAATCCAGTTCAAGTTTGAAAATTTGAACAGTAAAGAATATGATTTAAGAAGTTTTTCATAGAAATGTTTTATGGACGACTTACAATTCCTTGCCTTTAGCTTTCCCCAGGTTGTCGAGAAATTCTCGCCACTCTTGCACCATTTCGTATGTCTTAGCTTGATTTGTTAAATAGTTGTTTTTGTCATCGTTATCCCTAAACTGATCGTCTTCGAAGAGATGAGTAATAGCATCCACTCGGAACCCATCTACTCCTTCATCGACCCAGAATTTGAGCACATCCTAGGACAAAAATCAAAATTACAAGTCTTGAAATCTAAATGTAACCCATTTGAACAGGCTCACTTAGAACACTTAAACATATATTGACACATATTTTGAGGTTGAATGAGATTGTTCAAGGGCATATTAAAGAATATACGTATATTCAATTTCAGCTTCACAGAAACTAAGCTGAACAACTGGAAAAATTATTATGAACTAGTGGAAGTGCTCAGCATACCAACACTTTTCTTCTCTTAATGATATGAAATGAATAACTGGATATTGTAATAAGTATTAAACGTGCTAATATGGACTGTTTGTAATGAAATGTTTAGGGGCTTTAGTTCTTCGAACTTCAAGAGCTCTTTTAAAATCCTTTTGAATTAATAGAACAATTGAATGGGAAAACCAGAATGGTATAAGTGACATTTTGTAATATTGGTATTGTGGTGTTGTTTTTTAATTCACGTTTTAATGTTTTTTTCTTGTACTTGAAAACTGATTATGATGACTAAGCCATCGAAAGCTGCTATTGTAATACAGAATATTGTCGACAATAACGACTCATAATATTATTTCGACATTTGTTCATGAAAATACTGTTTTCCTTATTCTGAAGGTCTTGTACCTGCCTATTCCCATTGCCACATTATTGGGGTGCGCCTCATACCCAATATGAGCTGTAATATTAATGAAAATACAACAAATTCATATAAAATAGACCAAAGCAAAAAGTCAGCGTGAAATTACAGAAAATAAAAATTTGGTAATATATGGTGAAATTTATATATCAAATAATATTTGAAAAAAATTGTTTTCAAAGTATGTATATCCTCGTAAGCAAGATTCTCTCCGAGATGATCTTCTGAATTTGGATTTTGTTATTAGAAAACAATCTAATGGGCTGATTTTAAGATTGTTTGTTACTTTTATTTTAAACGTTTCCAATCATCTCACAAAGTATAGGACGAGAAGTGAGCTAATTAATCTATTGGCAGCATAACGAAACGTTTCCTCCTCTTAGTGAGATTCAACAACTATTCATATTTATTAATGTACATCAATTTGCTTTAATTTACCCACTGTCTATTAATAAAGGATTAATTGATATTAGTTCCATATAATTGAATGTAGCGAAAACGTTGTTCAAGAACATTCAGTTTCATTAGTTTAGAAATGACAAACTAGGAAATATTGTCTCAAAGTTGCGAAAATCTTGTGGTCGTACAGTAAAACGATGTTGCCAGAGGTCAAACAAAGCACTATATTAAAAAACAACTATTTCGGATATCAAGCTACAGATTCATAAAAGTTCCTTTGAGAATAGATAGGGTCATCAAAATCCGAGGCGGTTTCGCACTTTTCCAAGCAATTACCTCTAGAGTAACAGTTTACTTTTCTTGATAAAAAAGTGCACTCTAACTCACAAACGTACGAAATGTGTCAGGGCAAAAGCAAAAAAAAATGTGTTAAGAGATTTCTTAAAGACCACATTGTAATCTTTCATTTAAAATAACAAGCAAAAATATTAAATGGTGCCAAAAGTATGTTATTTTCCTGGAGTCTCAAGATAACCCCGACAACAATATTAGGTGGAACCCTGCAGTTTTACGTGCTAAGGTGTCATACTTAAAAGTCAAAAGTGAAACCGCGTCTGAAAGGTTTGCACACTCGTGTGCCAACGATTCTTTAATCCGACATTCTACGATGGGTGAAGAAACACCAATTTCAATCCCCTACAGGTAACGATATGTAACGAACGATATTGTCTATGTTTGAATTAATCATCGAACAAAAACCGAGAAGCGAATTCAAATTTTTAAATTCTTTAAACATTTACTTTGTATATTAAAACAAAGGGAGGAAACGTATGGACTTACCTCAACAATAGGATCTTGAGTTTTTGGTCTTAAAATCGTGTTTAAGGTTCTTTTGAGCTGTAACTAAAGTTCCCACCTCTTCGGGTTTCACTCGGAGACTTCGGGTTTCACTCGGGACTTTGGGTTTCCTGACCAATCTCCTGGCTCAGGGTTTACTACTACTCAGGGTTTACTTACATCTCCGGGCCATGCACAATATTGAATGTACCTACGCGTTCAAATGTTTCAATTATGGGAAACATTTGGTCCGATTTGAGAAACAGGATGAGAGTCGAATTAGTCAAAGCAGAACTCTTTACAAAACTAACTATGATATGTCTTACGCCGATCACAGATATTTAAATTCATTAAATAATAAGAAGCAAGTATGCTTACTAAAGAAAGCCGTTTCAAATGAGAAATATACTTGGAAGAAAGTTAGTTTAAAAAAAAAATACAGAAAAGAATAGAGAGATTATATTTTTTAATGTAATAATTTATTATTTGTTTTATAGGATTGTTGACTATGGAAATGTAATTTATTTGATTGTTTCTAAACTAATAAATTAAATATACGATTGTACAATTTAAAAAATGTGTGTAAATGTTAAATAAAACGTACCCCCTCCCGCTCATGAAAATCTCGGGTGAGTATGTGGCAACTCTAGCTGTAACTCTGCACACACGTTATTATTAAGATTTATAAGCGGTGTTCCGAAGATTGGAGAAGGTGGAAAAGGAGATACAGACAATTCTTTACACCTCCAAAGTCGGTCTGTCTGAACCCGCAATGTCTGTCTGTCTGAACGAACGGTCGGTCGATCGGATGGATGGAGGTGTCATGCATAACTTTGTCAATTACAAGATATTGAGCTGAAACTTGGAAACATGTCAATATTTGGAGCAAGCAGTGTCGTTTAGGAGATAGTTAAGTATTAATAAATCTATAGATGAAATAAATTTAAAACTTTTTTTTTAAATTTTGGGGTACTTTATGATTTAAGATTCTTTACAAACTTTTTCGATATGTTCCAACTTTCCAAGCCATTTTTTAACCATATTGATTTCTGTGATTTGAATGTTTTCGGCATAACTTCATTCAAATGTTGATATTTATATGATGCCACCTTTTAAAAAATCGAAATAATTGTTGAGTAATAAAACAAGAGGAGGAAAAGTTTCCTATTAGTACCAGATGTTAACCGTGAGATTCATACTGTTCACAGAGCAAATACGGCATATTATGAATGAATACTGCAAATGTTCTTTGAAATGCGATTAGATAAAATGCAATCTCTAGAGGTAATCAGTAAAAGTTTTAAAACTAAGAACCCACCTTCATTTCTTGAACAACTTCAGGATTGTTGAAATTCAAATCGGGCTGATGTTCATGGAACTGATGAAGATAGTGCTGTCCAACTTCTTTACTGTACGTCCAAGCCGAACCTTCTTTTTGGCTGGCAAACACACTTCTCTGTAAATAATGTAAGCAAAGAAATTAGCCACAGTTTTGGAAAATAATGATTAGCTTCAGCAAGTGTTTAGTTCCATACCCAGTTGTTTGGAGGCTGATTATCTGCTTTCCCAGGTCTCCAGACATAATAATTTAAATATTTCTCATCCTTTTTTAGTGCTGCTTTGAACCACGGATGGTCAGAACTGGAATGGTTGGGCACAAAATCTAGCACAACCTTCAAACCTGCAATATATTTATATTAGTTCTCCACTGCATAATTTATGATCCAAAGAGACTGCGAGAACTTTCACTACTCAAAATATAGTAAAGAAACGCCTGCATTAATAACCTTTTTGTGTCAATATTACTCAATTGAATGGAATATTTTTGGCTCTAAACTATTTAATTAAATTTTGTTGCTAGATAGTGTTAAGGGCGCTTAAGAGAATGGTGAACGTCTCATGTTCGTTGAAATCTCTAATTTTTTTGAAAACTTGTAATACGTCTTTCTACGTAACTATAATTATTAAGATTTGTTTCATAATGAAATGTGTTCATCAAACACTGATCTTCAATTAAGGCCATGAAATATCGTATAAATATTCTTATTTTTCTAAAAATAAATTCAAAGTTTTAAACATTTAAACCATAAACTCCTTAAAAAATTCAAAAACTAAATAAATGAATATTTGTTTGATGGACAGAAGCGTTTACATGAATCTTTATATTATCTGAAGAATCATCTAGCTTCTCAACAAAATATTTTCACTAAGAGGCAATACACAATTGTATGGGCTGGTATCCTAGTTGCTCACAAACTAGTTAAGGGGGAAGACAATTTACGAAGGACATTCATTAAAAACTGGCATTGTGAAATTTCTTGAAAAATAATTACCGATATAAAGTCTCAGTTGAAAGCAATAAATTGATCAACCTTTGTAGTTGTTTGTCGAACTGAAGATATTGATGATAAAAGTGGCTAGACAAATCTACAGGCTGAGAATGTCTTCCAATTGCAGTGGTCGGATGAAATATTTTAACAGATTCAATTCAAATACCTGTGTTTCTTCATGGATTTAAAAATAGTTTAGGAATTTGCGAGGAATTGTGTACATTTAATGTTTTTGGCAATCGTATCCAAAAAGACAATTTTCAAGCTTTTGTACTGGACAATATATGACAGATGGCAAAAGCAATAGAAACTCATAGAGCAATACGTGTGGCACGAAGAGAAGCTTGGTAGAATTGGGAACGTTGAGGCTCAGAAACCAATGATTTCCACTGCATAACTCATCAATTTATTCTGTGTGGTCTGAGTTAACAATCGTCCGATATGATGAATGAAGTTAGTGCTTTGAATTTCATCCTGTTACGTGCTGGCACTCACCATCAATTTAAGGACGTTATAGCTTTTACTGAACGAAACACAAATTATGTTTTATCACTGTAAGGTTTGGTATTTTAATGAAACCAAAGTACAGAAATAATTTTCAGAAATTCGCAACGGATATGATAATTTTTTTACCGATTGCAAACATTCTCATCAATCACAGTATTTGTGGTAATGGAAATTTTATTGTATTTTATTGTAGATCTGATAGCACATTAATTTCTATAATCTGACTCTTCAGGGAGAATTTTTTTTATCACTGATCTTTACACTCGTGAATGGATCGAAAATTACTTCTTTTCGAGAAATATTGTTACTGGCTTATTAACATATTATATTTATGTGATCAATGTCAAATAATTCGGCACACCATATCCGACAACTTTCATATTGCTTTATAAGTTAATTGTAATTTAAAGGGCCCGTTCCACAGGGGCAGTTCCAAAGTCACAGGAAACTTCAAACTGAGTCAAAGCTAATTCAGTGAAACAATACTGATCATACTGAAACAGGTTGGTCATCGTTAAGAAACCCCTGAAGCAAAGTATTCTTTACGTATTTCACACGTACTATCTGCGAACGTGTTCTTAACTTCCGGCATCCCTACTGCTTTTCTTTTACAATACGTTATTGAATTATGAATAAAAGATGTGATGTGATATACACAAAATTAACAATGATCGTTGGCAACATCTGATGAGAAAGTGTTGTCCTGGAACAATATAAATGATTTGCAACGCCAAAACACCTACAGATTTAATTTGATAGTTCTCACAACGAAATATCTAAACCCGAAGTCTAGTCTTTCGCCTGAGACTGTATCGTTGGCTTGAAGTCATTTCAACTGCCCCTCTGTATGATCCCTAATTTTATATTCAGCAATGTAGCGGAAAAAGCGTCTTTACCATAACCTTTAAGGACAAGTCTTTCTGATCTATTGAAGATACCGATCTGGAGATTTGTAGGTGTTGAGGGATTTCGTATCACAACGGTATATGAAACCCGTTTGCTACACCAAACTTAATTGTAAGATTAACATAAGTCAGATGTGATTGTTATTTGCTGTGATTGAACGCATTCCTAACTCTTTTTATCCACACTAATAATTCCTGCTTATTGTTGTAGACGTGTTACGAATTTTAATACACTTGTATCTTTCTCTGTGCGAAGGAAGAATAGATATTTCTCGGCGGAGTTTGCGTTGTGGACTTTTGTCTGACATAAAAAAGGAATATTACTAAGAATAAATTATATCATACGTTATGTATCGAAATGTATAAAAACACGTGCGTTTGTTAACTAATGAAACGTTTGAAATAGAAGATACGTGCCATTTAGATCAGCAGGAATTTTTGTTTTATAATTGAAACATAATCTTATTTACTCATGCACACTAACAAATACAACTCACCTAGATCATGAGCCTTCTTCACCATCGCCCTGAAGTCGGTCATAGTTCCGAAGTCATCGTGAATATCTTTGAAGTCACTTATATCGTAACCCATATCGTAGTCTGGAGACTTGTAGATGGGAGACAACCAAATAGTTTGAACTCCTAGGTCTTTTAGGTAATCTAATTTTGCAGTAATACCTGGGAAAATAGAAATGAACGTGTAACTAAATATTATGAATCTCAGTATAACAAACTTAATTTTTACAGCAATGATCTATCTTTGACAAATATACGCATTTTCAGCTTGGACGAGAAACAGTAATTGTTATGAATTAACAAATTGAAAACAATTTCCATGTTGGTTTTCATTTAAAATTTAGAATGGAAAAATAATTTATAAACTTATTCCAAAAATGAAGCCCCTTCGTGTCCGGCGAGGGTAGTCCCACACAATTATTACTTCTCGCTGTTTGTCCATTATTTATATTAATAATGTTCATAGTTAGTCCACATACCAGGAATATCTCCATTTCCGTCTTCGCCACTGTCTTTGAAGGAACGAGGATAAATTTGATAGACAATACCAGTTTGCCACCATTGGAATCGCGGTCCACCCAACACCACTGCGGCGTTGCCATTTAGGCTAACGCTCTTGAGATTTAGAGTATTGTCTCTGAAAATTAAATACTAGCGTTATCGAAGGAAGATATTTTCACAAGTATCAATACTTTCACACAAATATCAACTTAACAAGTATATATTCTAACTACACTTACTGAAAATTAGAAGAAACTATTTCTTTAAGTTCTCCTACGAAACCATAAATGTCAATGACATTGAAAGTTGTCGAGGTTTCCTTTAGATTAATCAGAACAAGGAGGCTGTATGTATCGTTTTGTCTGTAACAGAAAATAACAACATATAAACTGTTCTTGCATGGATTCCCCATGAGACCCATTATTTCTAACAGCGAATTATTAACGCGGAATTTATGTCCTTCTTTTCTAGAGATTACTTGGTTTTTACTAATTTTATATCTGAATAAACAGCATATTTGCATGAGGCGTAGGGAGGTTGATAATCCTATCCAGAAGGAACAGGGGGTTCTCTCAACATGGCCCTATAATCAGAATAAACAGATACGGAAAATTGTGGTGAGAGTTATCACCGCAGAGACTATTTCAGAGGTAATTAGGTAAAGAAATTAATGGATTGAAAACAAATGCACACCATTAAACCATTTCTTGAAGATTATGTATCGCTTTCGAACATATTGGAAGACACGCCACGAAGGATGTAACTATTATTTTCATCAAGGTACTTATATGAGACTAACTCCACAGTTAGCTCATCTGAGAGGGAATTTAATTTTGAGTTACCTCACTACTGTAGGAGGCCATTCCGCACACTGGGATCAATGCCTTTATTATTATTATTATTATTATTATTATTATTATTATTATTATTATTATTATTATTTATATGAGACTATCATCTGGGCTAATAATTGTAAGTGCACAATCGTTCTTTGACACAAAACCAAAATATTTACCTAAGAAATGAAACAACGTTTCCCACATCTTCTGCTTTCAAGGTACCAGTTTGCACCACGGGTTCGTTCCTCAGCTTAACTAGCTTTTTGTAGATGTTGAGATGGCTGCTTTCATCTTTTTCCTCAACGTCAACGTTGCGGTCGGTGTAACTCTCAGGAACTGGCAGCCACGGTTTCACGTTACTAAATCCTAAACAATTCAAACGACTTTTTTTGTTTTGTTTTGGATAGTAAAGAAGAGAAAATTGGTTGAGAAACCATATATAGAACTTCGTATGCCTACATAGTATTTGTAAAAAAAAAGAAAATCATAAATAAAAAATGCATTCTGCCGATCAGATGGCCGAGATCACTAAGGCAGTAGTGCTGTAGTGATTTCGGACCAGAAGATCGCAGGTTCGAGTCCCGCTGCGGGCATGGGTGTATTTGTGTATGTACGAGTGTGTCGTCCATCCGCCCCTCATTATCATCATTTCATCATCCATACCCTCAGGGCTAACAACCCGCCGGTGCAATAAAAATCGGTCTCAGCTAAATGCTGGATCCCAATTAAAAAGTTACATGCACCTGCCACCGCGATAATGATACTGAGCCACGGTAAAAGTAGGATGCATGCATGCGTGGTCCTAGTCGGCCGATTCGCAAGCAAAAAAAAAAAGATGCATTCTGTTTACTCAAAGCTTTTATAAATCTGTATTGTGAAGTGGAAAAATATTATCAAACGTTAAGTATTAAATAATTTTGTTCAAGTGCGTACTTATAAAAATGATAATTTAGACTTTGAAAAGGAAAGTGCCAAGAAGATAGGTGAGAATGAAAATGAAAATGTGGATTATGGATTGGAGAGCGTGGATTGTAGACTAGAGAGAGAGGATTGGATTAACGTGTGAGGAATTGAATTGGAGATGGAATTGAATTGGATTGTGGATTGAGGTTGTGGTTTGGGAAATGTGTTTTTTTGGGAGTGTGGTTTGGGGAGTGTGGTTTGGAGAAGTGTGGTTTGGAGATGCTTTAGTATGGATTATGGTGACTGTGTGGTAGTGGGGATTGTAGATTGTTGAGTGTAGATTATGAGGTGTGAAGTATGGAGTGAGGATGGTGTAGTGTAGATTGTGCAGTGTGGATTGTGGAATGTAGATTGCGGAGTCTGGATTGTAATGGAATATAAATTGTAGAGAGTGGATTATGGATTGTGAAACGTTAATTTTGGGTTTTGAATGTGGAGTGTGGATTGTGGAATATGGATTGTGAAATGTGGATTGTGGAATGTGGAGTGCGGAATGCGAAGTGCGGAGTAAGTCTCACCTGCATAGTCGTTCTTGTTCCACTGCATAGGCGTACGCTCGAAGTCACGACTGTGTTTCTTGTAGTAGTCTTCTGTGGCTCCCGAGGGGCACGCCTGCGGGTCCATGCAGTCTTTCAAGGTCAATTCCGTATTGTCTAGCATGCCCAGTTCCTCGCCGTAGTAGGTGACGGCCGTGCCCGGCAGCAGCAGAACCAGCATGTTTAAGCCGTCCACGTTCTTCTCGCCTAAGCGGGATCCCACACGGTTGTTGTCGTGGTTGCCCACCTAGGAATGACAAAATAGTTCACAATACCGGTGCAGAAACATTGCCATTTTTTTCAAAGTAGGGCCCGATAATAAGAGTTTTACTGTCATAAATTCGCCATTTTCCCCACAGTACTGTAATAATTTATGTATAAGCAGTTGCGGGGAAGTAAAAATATATGGCTTAAATTACAGAACGCATTTGGTGAACAAATTTAATTTGAGGGAAAACATCTACTTCTATATGTGTTATATATTATATATTTATATATATATAATATATATATATATATATAATATAAATATATATATATATAAAGTATATGTGCAAGGGTCCAAAAGATGCTAAACCTTTGCAAAGTTCGAAAATTGAGGGGTAACAGTGAAAATTGCTCCCATGCCTTCTTTCAAGTGTATTTCACTCTATTTTTACAAGAAATTTACAGAAAAAATTTGCAACAATTTTCGGGAAAATGTTTTAATGTTCCAGATGTTTCTTCTAAAGCATTCCGAAATTCAAAAATTCTTTTCATGATCGCAAGGCTTTCAGATGAACCGGATCAACTGGGGAATATTCATTTTGGAAAACATACTACGAAATATTTAGGCACTAGTGTTATTCAGAAACAAACGGACCTAGAGACCGATAGAGGGACAGACGGGCGGACGTTTAAACAAAATGTCTGTTTGAGAAGACCCCAAAATACGCATTTCTGTTAAAAACTTGAATTCGTATTATATGGACATCTATATGCCGTGCAATTCACTCAGTTTTGCTCGTAAATATGGAAACAATCAGAGTTGCCATCTTTGTGAAAGAAAATTATACTGTCGTGGAATGAAACTATGGGTATACTGGGGTTTAATATATAATATACAAATATAAGTGCAGAACGCATAATGACTTACCACCCAGTTAGACCAGCCATATGTGGGCTTGTTGTCAATCCAATTGTGGATCTCCTCAACGTATTTTGAGGCCGAGGACTGTCCGTCAAGGTTGGAGATGAATTGAAAGTTGAATGGAAAATGACCAGCAGGGAAATCCTTCGTACCATAGTATTTCATTGTTTCTTCAACTGTAGCGTATGCCTCTAGCATCATCACTCTAGAACAAATTAAAAATTCGCATATGAACTACAAGATAGAAATTACTTCAAAATTATTATTAGATCGAAAATGGAGAGGCATTTATTATCATAAAATCGATTTCCTAAAAGGAGGGTGAAATGTAGTGTAAAAAGTTTAAAATCCACAATAAACTGCATAGAAGTTTTACATTAAAACTGAAAGTACATTTAAAAGAATTATATTAGTGTAAAACTGAGATGTGAGAATATAATGTTTTAATAATTGCCCAAACATATCACTAAAGCGAGGGTGAAGGCCGGGTGGAGGAGAAATAAGTGGGCAGAATGTTGGCAGGACAGTGCAGGAGCTTTAGTGAGGGCGAGGGAGAAGGGAAAGGGCAATAGCCATTAAATTCAATTCAACGATACCTTTTTTACGTGGCAAGATTCAGGCCGTGAGTCCACGCAAATTTCGCAACGGAGTTTCATCAATTAGCGGACAAAGAAAGTATTACTTGGGGGACGAAACAGGCGATTTGAATTTAGGCTTGCATGCAGTAAACCTACCACATGGGACAGCCGGCTTTACTTCCCTTCCGAAGGAAGGCGTGCGCAGGATTTTTTCGCTCTTACAAATCCACGGCTTCTATCGGGTTTGAACCCGCGAACTTGGGTATAACAGCCCGATAGAAAGGCAGCTATGCCCGATAACAAGAGAAGGGCGGAGGTGACGGCGAGGGCGTAGGCCGTGTACTCACAAGTCCTTGCCGAGGCGTGCTCCCTCCTCATCGAACACCTCGCGCCACTGGCGCACCATGTCGTAGGTCTCAGGCAGGTTCTCTGTGCGCTCGTTGCCGTCTTTCACGTTGTCCCGCATCAGGCGGTCCTCGAACAGGTAAGGGATGGCGTCGATGCGGAAACCGTCCACACCCTTGCGCGCCCAGAAGCGGAACACGTTCTGGAACAGACGCAGCAAGCACAGCGGCCCATCAGCGTTAAAAAAAAGACGTTTATACAATAACTAGTGGTGCCGGTCAATATGGCCGAAATCGTTAGGGCAGTAATGTCGTTGCGTTCTCGGACCAGAAGACCGCTGGTTTGAGTCACGCCTCGGTCATGGATGTATTTGTGTACGTCTATATGTGTGTGCTGTCCTTTCATTTCTCACTCTCATCATCATCTCATCATCCATACCTCTAAGCTAACAACCTGGAGATGCACGCGTGGTTCGAGTTGGCCTATACGAAAGAAAACAACAAACAAAAACTAGTGGTGGTACTTTCCCGTGTTTTGGTTACTGTTACGTAATTTTAAATACTGAACTTCTAATCTACAAATACTTGTACCATCTTTTGAAACACTCCCGGCCAAATGAACGCCGTAGTTAAAAATTAAACATATGTGTTTATTTTAAAAACTGGAATGCAAATGGCTTCCTGCCATTGATTTCAGTGCACTGTGCTCTATTTCGACAAAAAGTTCAAGAAAAATACTTTCTCAGGCTGGGATTTGAACAAGGCGCTGCGGATCAAAAGCACCTGCTCTATCAACTGATCTAACTAAGGAATATACAAGTTCTATTGTTTACTGCGCTGTAATATGTTCGCATCGCGTCGCTGTCATCAAGGAGGCTGTTGTCAGGACGTATGAAAACAAGTCTAGAATTACGTAGCTCACGACATACGTTGACAGGATTCAAAGGCATTCTGATCATTATTACAACAAGTATTTCCATTCTGTTATTTGGTGTATGAGAAGGAAGTGAATTTTCTCGAATCGAATTTTAACACGGACTATATGATCTACTGCACAGTTCTGTTCGATGACTTACGAAGTGTTATATTACCCGCACGAGTTAGGTTATGTGGATAAATGCGCATTCAGACTGTAATTGAACTTACCTTCATCTCGGTTACCACAGCAGGATTGGTGTAGTTGAGATCTGGCTGCCCCTCATGAAATGTGCGGTAGTAGTACTTGTTCAAAGAGGGCACCCACTTCCAAGCTGAACCTTCTTTCATTTCGTCGAATACACTTCCCTGAAAGGAAAAAAAGGAAATTGTTATCTCTTCCGTTCTCTGCCCCGAGCCGTGCCTGTAAGATGTGTAAAACTGAAACACCAGTGCACTATTCAGTTCAGATTCTCGTTAATAAAATGTTCATATCTGAGTTAATGACAATTACATTTCGATCCAGATAACCATATCTTTCTTATATTACACAATGAAACACTAACCCAGTTGGTGGGAGGCTGGCGTTCTCCATTGACTATTTTCCCCTCGTGCCATATATAATAATCGTGGTACGGGTTGTCTGGTCCTTTCAGAGCTTCTTTAAACCATCTGTGTTCGTCACTCGAATGGTTTGGAACGAAGTCAAGGATAACTTTGAGTCCTACAGAATAAATAAGAATTATTGTTAGTACCCGAAGTGAAGTAATACTTAATATATGGGAACTGTAACCAGAGTCACTTTAATGCTTATCTTACCAAGTTCATGTGCTTTTTTCACCATCTCCTCGAAGTCGGTGAGGTTTCCGTAGTTGGGATGGATGTCTTTATAGTCGGAGATATCGTACCCCATGTCCTTGTTGGGAGATTGGAAAATCGGCGACAACCACAGAGCAGCTACGCCAAGATCTTTAAGGTACTGCAGTTTATCGGTGATGCCTAAAACACATTTTTATAATTTGAAACAATCTAGATATGAGTATGCCATCCTGTGTATTGGAATCTTGCAACACAGTTGCAAGCATATCTTGATATTAACCATAACCAACGACAAAAAAATGAATATTGAAAACATTTAAACGAATTTCAAAGTAACGGCCGAAGTTTATCATATGAGCGTAGCCTCGCAATGAAGAGACATCACGCATGTGTTCCTATCAGTAGCGGAGGGTAACAAAAGTAAATGGGTAGTCATTAGAACCAACACAGAAATTAGTTCTTCAAAGAGACAATCCGTTAATATAGTTAAAACATAGTTAAGGCTTTGAAAACGATAAAAAATTCTCATCTAAATTAGTCAAGTAATCTTGAAACATAATAAAACCACATTAGAACACTCAAATGCGGTGACAAAAGATTAAAGCCTACTGCTGAAATGTCTGGTGTCGCGAAAGATAATTATTGCCGCAATGGTTGCAGAGATAAGCTTCATTCTCATAAAGAAACATCTCACTAAGTTATCTGCGGCAATGTGCAGAATTGTTTTCGTAAAACCAAGTTCGGGAAAACAGATTTAAATATATCTCGGCTCCTTGTTTATGTTTGACATTTCCTCGCTAACTCCTTCTATGATCATCCTGACGAATGCCGAAATATCATTCCCTTGAGGCTTCTTTCTTAACCCATTATCGCCCAACATAATTTTGTGTGGATAGCAATCTCCCTCCAAATTAGCCACCAGGCCTTCCCTCCGACATTTACCACAGGTATGCAATACTTGTGTAGCCGTTTAGCACGGTTTTAGAAGAAGATTTAAACCGACATAAGCCTAGTCAGGGGCGTACAGTAATTTAGCGATCTTGACTAAATCGACATCTCGAATTCATGAATGTCAAAAATTGCTTATGTGTTTCATTTAGGATGTCTCTGTCCATTGAATAGATAAAATTCGCAATAGAAGTATTTGAGATTAAAAAGCACAACGTTGAAGTTCACTTCCCCATTTTGGGGGCTATGAGCATTATTGAGTTCCTTTTGAGATTTCTTTGCTGACCCCGTGCAAACTCAACCCATGAACTGTATCTGTAAATAATAGAAACCCGCAAATTCTTTTGGCTTTTGTATAAAACAAAATAAAAAATGTGGATGAAGCAAATTTATTCTGAAAAAAAAACACCTTTGTTCTCGTTCTCAGAAGGGAACATGGGGACGTTTAGAGTAGTGAAAAAGCTAGTCTTAAAAGGCGTCCCGATTACTTAACATTTATCACCAATATATTAAATATGTGCACGTTAAAAGTATATTTGTCACTTTTCCTCTACGTAACGTATTAACTCTTAACTTATAGAACTTTACGTTTTTAACATGTTTTCTAAGAGAAATAGACAACATATTAGTGAATGCATTTGCTAAGCTAAATTCGAGTAAGATCGTGAGTTTGGCTGGCAAGAGCTGCTCTTCCAATAACGATTTTCGATGCTTTAGCTTTCAGTAAAATGAAATCACTGGAATAAACAATGAACCTTTTGAAGGCTACGAGAGTTTAACTCCAAAATGTATGAAGCGTTATGTAAAATGTAAAAAAAAAACAAACAACAAACTGTTTACGCACAGCTGCTCCTGGGGTACTATCGAAACGAAACTAGCATCATTACGATCTTAATGTAGTCTATTTCTACATAAAATATAAAAATAATACAAAGTTAATAGTCAAATATTAAGTTCGTCTGAATCCATCGCCCTTATCAACTTATACACGTAGTACGATGCGATTCTGAACATGTAAACGTTTCATATGTAACATTCAAATTTGCGGTATTGCCGAATTCTTTTCGATATGTGAGGATTGACTCCGCGCTTCCTTCGGTTGACCATCTGGTTAGATCGTTCGTCCCGTTAGTGGCAGTGAATGTTTTTTATCACGGGAGGTGGCGTTGTTCTTCTCCCGAAGATTGGTTCGGCGCCGACCTACACGTCTGGGTTTCCCCAACAATGTATCTCTCACCGGCAGTGGGTACCGCCCCAGCCGGGACAAGCTCTAAGCTCCGATGGGACTTCCAGCATGTGTGGCAGTGTAGTGCATGCGTGTGTGTGTGTGTGTGTGTGTAAGCAAGAGGTGATGTTAGGACAAGGAAGAGTAAGGAGGATCGCGTTCGATTCGTGGCCCGTTCGTTTAGGTACTGCTCCGGCATTGGCCTGGTGTTGATCGGACCATCTACGGAAAACCACCAATTAGATCAAATCAGCCGGCCGCTAGAATTCTCCTCTAGACAGCGACTGAACACGGCCTAGCTGTTCCATCTTTGTTCCATCTTCGAGACTCAAACCCCCAAGGCCTCCCAGTCAGTGGCAGTGCAGTGACATCAGTGGTTTCGGCTCAGCTTCTAAGTTCGTGTGCAAAATCATCGCGCTGTGTCGAATTCAGGGCCTCATTTGACGGCTCACAACTACATAATAATGCTAATGTATCTCTGTAAATCCTTAAAGACATTGTTTTATTATTATGAATTACTTCGGTGTATCTTGTTTTACTATTTCAAATTGATAATTAATCAGTATAATATATTAATTCCTATCCAATGATTATATAATAGTTATTACAATTATTAGTAATTGCAATTATTATGTAATATAAATTCATTATATAATATAGTAAAGTGGAATTACATTATTGGAATAATGGTAATATATTATTGAACTGTCTCCCCTTTTTTATCGATGCTTTGAGGGTGAAAATAGCTTAATACTGAAATCCAATTTCGATCGTTTTTAAACCCTGATGCATTAGAAAATTTTTAAAAAATATTTCATTTTTTACATTTGCCCTAAGAAGCATTTCTTTTGTCTCTTTGGGACATGAAAAAATACTATAAACGACCTAGATATTTTCGAGTGTAGTTTTCGAGGTACACACGATAGTAATTGTGTGTGTGTGTGTGTGTGTGTGTATATATATGGCAGTGTATCATGTATTGTGGGTTGCATGGGTGCTTGATATTTTCCTTTTATCACAATTTCCGAACCTTTACTTTTTTCGTTATAAATATGTTTTTTTACACCCCAGGGGCGTGGGCGATTCCACGATCAGTAGTATCAGATTTTGTGTCGATTGTCATAAAAATAATGAAAAACCGACAACTATCCTCAAAGCACTACGTAACTAACGTACAAATAATACGATGAACTGTATCACAGACTATCGCAGTTCGTTACGTTGACTTTTACATCAAGAGAAATTATGTGTTAGGGGAGGAAGGAAATTGTTTTTGTCCTTTCTGTATTTAGAGTTCTCCTTGAGAGACATCCGCAGTGTTAACAGCTCATGCTTATATCATTTGTCTCTCGCAACACAATGGATTCTACTACGTGGGAAAATCTCAAGAATAGTGTTTGTATTTTTGAAGGTTTGGTCTTGCTGTGTAAATGACATCGAGCAATTAGTATTGCAAACATGATACAGTTTTATTGCGAAATTGTACATGCACAACGGATTGATGATTGGGATTGTCTGAAACAAGAATTGTGTTCATGACCATAGCACTCAATCAGTGAATTTCATATACATTTGGAGCCTTCTTTGTAAACATGTCTGCGCTGGTTGCACTCTCCGAATCTATATTTCATATCTTTGTATACATATATTTTGTTTTAAATAATATTCGTTCGAGGTCATTTTAAGAATGTGTTTCTTCTCGACTTAGTCGACTTGAGTATACCACACATTTCAAAATTATTCACTATATTGTTTTAATGTGTTCGCTTTATTTCAGGGGATATTGTTACAAGGTAGCAATGTATGTAAGGACTAAATCAGTACTCCTAATATAATATCATCTTCAAATAAAAATCTTGTTTTTCGATCTAGGAACTTAGCGAGATGCACTATGATATGAATTTTGTTCTAAGCATATGTTTAGGCTTCGGAATCATTCATAGCATTAGTCCCAATGAGTTTCCTAAACAATTGGCAAAGATACATTTGTCTCTACAGATTCAAATAAGGGGAATTAAATTTTAATATTGACCTCCTTGACTCACATTATGTGCATTTAATATAACGTAATATAACGAACTAACATGTTCTAGCGTAAATTCTATGTGTATAATCTATTACGATGTTTCGACAAAAAATAAATTCGATAATTTCCAGTGTAATTATGTCATATGGAGCATTTGAAGAATGAAAGCATTATGTATAAGAAAACTTAATTTATTATGAATAATTGATTAATTGGATTCATTCACTATCCCTGATCAGCCTGGAGTAAATAACAGTAAAATTTGTTTACAAACCAAAATAAACAAAAAAAAATATTCGGGGACTTACATTTAAGATCGAAAAAAATATTTCTAAGAGTGCAGAACTTTGAAGAAATCTAAATTGAGCAATCGAATCTGAAAAAATCCCCGTAACTTATCCCTAAACCCCTTGATTAATTGAGTTCATTCAGTATCCCTGATCAACCTGGAGTAAATAACAGTGACATTTGTTTACAAACCAAAATAAACAAAAAATATTCGAGCACTTACATTTAAGATCGAAAAGAAATATTTCTAAGAGTGTAGAACTTTGAAAGAACGTAAATTGAGCAATCGAATCTGAAAAAATGCCCGTAACTGTTCGAGAGAGCGCAACAGCCCGTAACGAGAGGGCGAGCAAGGCCAAGTGCGTAGGCTCACCTTTGAGATCGCCGATGCCATCATCGTTGCTGTCCTTGAAGGACGCGGGGTAGATCTGATAGACGATGCCGGTCTGCCACCACTTGAGCTTGGGCTGGTGCAGCAGCGCGGGCTGGAAGAGGCGCTGCTGCGGGGCGGCTTCGGGGGCAACGTCGGAGCCCGCGGGGGCGGCGACCGCGACGGCCAGCGCCGCCGCCAGCGCCGTCGCCAGCGTCAACAGTCGCTTCATGATGGCCTGTGCTGCTGCGTGCGCCGCGCTCGCGTATATAGCCGCCTGTCTTATCGGGGGACCCCGCCTCCGCCTCCGCCCCCGCCGCCGCGACGCCTCGCGAGGTACCCTCTCCACCCGCGGCAACGCCCCGCGCCCTCGCGCAGAGAGCGAGAGAGGGAGGGAGGACCCTCTGGCGGTGAGGCGCCCCTCGCTTCCTTGCCCCCCCCCCCTTGCGGGGGGCAGCGTGCGGCGTTGCGGATAGGTAAAGGCGTCACGCCGTGGTCCGTGGCCCGCCCACACGCTCGTTATGTAAAGGGCGGCGGTGGCCGAGGTGTGACGGAGGCGGGAGCGTGGGTGGAGGCGGCGAGGGTGGGACGAGTTGACGACAGCGGTAGTGGTCGTGGTGAAGGAAGCGATGGTGGTGATGATGGCAACGGTGACGGAGGTGACAACGGTCGCGGGGGTGGGGGTACAGTTGTGATGGAGATGTCGGTGGCAGTATCAGTGAAGATGGAGATGGTGCCTGTGATATCAATGGCGTCTATGGGGGCGATGTTTGTTGTTGGTCGTGATGGTTATTGTGATGATGGCGATGGTGTTGATGGTGGCAATGGAGGTGTTGAAGGTGATGGAGATGATGGTGGGTGTAGCTGTGGTAGTGACGGTTCAGGGGGTGACAGTAGGGGCGGAGACGGTGACGGGGGTTGGGATGGTGGTGGCAGTTGAGACGACGGCCC